ACAATTTTAACTTCATTCTTCATAGAACTAGAAGAAAATTCTAAAATTCATATGGAAGCACAAAATAGCCAACACAAGTAACGAAATCATAAAAAAGGGGAAAATGCTGGAGGTATCACAGTATCTGATTTCAAGTTGTACTATAGAGCTGCAGTAACAAAAATGTATGGTTCTGATATACACACATGTGCACATACACAGAAGCCACTGAAAAAGAGGACCCAGAGATAAATCCACATGACTATAGTCTTTCTGACAAAGAAGCCCAAAGTATACACTGGAGAAAAAACAGTTTCTTTATCAAATGCAGCTGGGAAAACTGGATATTCATACATAGCAGGAAGGAAATAGATCCTTATCTCTTACCCTATATAAAAATCAATTCAAATGAATTAAAAAACCTTAATGTAGAATCTGAAACTTGGAAAGGGTTAGGGAAAAACAGAGAATTCCAGTTTTCACACTTGTGGGTGAAGTGACTTACTCATAGAATTATCTCCCCATTCCTTCAATTTTAATGTAGACACATAAAACCATATATATGACATAATATATAGTTACGTGTTATATATTTATACATAAGGCAAAAATTCAGAAGGTAGAGTAGGGGAAAGAAGGAAACCAGTGGGAGTGGGTAAAGAGACAGAGAGCAAGGGTAGGCAAGTGGGATGAATCTGGTCAGGTAAGTAACACGCTTAAGAGAAATTGTCTTTATAAACCTCAGCAGTATGGACAATGGCTACTGGTCAAATAAAAAGCCAGTATTTACAAGAAAGGAGGACGATGTATGATTGTATAAGATGCTATACTGTATGTAAAGTACAAAGTAGAGTACTCCATAGCACTGGTTTCACCTGGTGGCTATTTGCCTCTTCATCTACATATAAGAAAGCTAAGGGAGCAGCTGCTAAGGAGCCATCGACAGTCAGGTAAATGATCTGCTGACTTGTCAACGCACAACCAAAGTACATTCCCACGCTGCATACTGAAATGTATACTCTTTTGGAAGACTAAGATATACTTAAGGAATTAGCATTACAAGTTCCATCAGTGTTAAGTATTTTCCCACAAAGGATACTAAGTAGTAAAATAAAATGACCCTCACCTAAGAAAGAATGACAATTGTAGCTGAGACTAGCAATTAAAAAGATATGCACCGGTACCCTTTCTTCAAATGGAATAGTATGAAAAAGGTCTTTTCAAAATTTCTTCCTTCTACCACCAAAACCTTTCAATGTAGTTGGCATTAAAAATAGCACAGCAACCACTCAAACCAAACTCAAATATAACCTCTCATCTTCCAAACAAAGGACAGCTGGAGCTTCCTAAACCCTTACTGAAGAAACCTGAATAAGAGAAATCTTCTCTCATTCAGAAGAATTTCCATGCTAACTGCTCTCAATCACGTTCACTAGTTTCGACTCAGATGAGATAGTTGCTACCATGCTATGCTTTTAGGCAGCTATCAATCAAGATAATCTACTAAAAATCAAAGGCATGTTATTAAAATTAATAATCACTTTCAAATAGCTCAATGGATTTCATATTATCTAGATATATTTTTGAACATTAAAGAACAGATGGTTATTAATGGTTCAATATTAGAATATAAAATGCAGGGTGATCTGAAAACCTGTCAGTTGTCATGACTGCCATATGAGAACACGTGGAATTAATTCTTCAAGAGAGGGGCATGCTTCCTCATGGTGTAGACTTGGAACCGTGAGAGGGAGGGCAAGGGCTTGCTATACAGAGCTATGCAGCCACTCCACTGGCTTCTTCATTCATATTTATGATATGCTCTGTGATGTCGATGCAATCAGTTGAGATCACTGCTATTTCAAACAAATCCATAACTGAGCAAAAGGCAGGATGCTGACAGGAGTTAATGTGGGCTTTACACTGTTTACAATTGCTTTCTAATCTACTAAATGGCTGTGAAAATTGATGCAGTTAGGAGTGTTTTTATACAGTAGTACAGATAAAGTGTTGTGCTGAAATAATCTCTGTAATGCTAAATTGAATTTTTTTACAGTGCTTTCCGTTTTCCCTATTCGTGTGTGATTAAGTAGGCTCCCAATTTTATGTAAACCATTAAGAAAACCCAACACCCCATTTTATCACCTGAAAATTTTCACTTTCAGAAAAACCACCAAATTGTAATTTTATATTAATTACTTTAAAATAACAAATGTAATCGTATCTGAAATGAATTAAGATACCATTCTTATGGATTTGGGGTAGCCAGCTTACAACCTTTTTATCATTTGACTGACTAAAGTTTGATTTCAAACTACTGCACACATTGACAGGGAGATGGATATAAAAAAGCAGGGGATTGTAGAAGGGGAACTGGGGAGCACATATGGACACCTGTATTAAATTTAAATCTCATCATCAACAGTGGCCATCAGTCATCATGGCCACCAGGATGCTGAGGTGCCTTTTAGTCTCTGACCTATGTGACTGTAAACAGTGAATAACAGGTCTAAGAACTGGCCCTGTCTTCAGTGTAACTGAATGCCATGCCTGTTGGAGGCTTGCGAAGCAATCTGGTACCTATGGGCTGGAGTTAGGTGTTCCCTTCTCCACAGCCATGAAAAAACAGGTAACACGTAAGTAAATAGCAGGTGATCACTGCAACTCAAAACAACCTGAAATTCATACTATTATTGGCTCCTTGTTCTTTGTGCTATTGATTTTATATGTCCAAGAAGAGTGTTAGAGAAAGACACTTACACTTTCATTTAAAAATACTAAATATGCTTGAAAACAGTGGTTAGGTATTTCTAAATTTTGTTCAGGGGCAAATGGTGTTTCTGGATTTTTAAACATTATTTTAAACTCTAATAGCCAAAGTTATATATTGGAAAGAATAAAATATGCAGTCCAACAAGTTGCATATGCCCAAATATGCAGAGAACGCTTACTATATTTTGTTTCAAATCCTTTCAAATCTGTCTTCCTTCCAATACTTATCAATATATTTCATGCCGTTTTGGATTCTTCTCTTTTCAAGTTATTACACTGACATTTATAAAGTGCATCATTAAGAAAATTAAATAATTGCTTGTCTGATTACAGTTACACGCTGAGCCGAACATAGGGTTTGAAAGGCTTATCCTGGTTATAGTCCCCAATTCTCTGCAGTAAACTGGGGTCTTACTAGGGAGGTAAAATGAAGTTACTCTGGAAAAGGGAATAGGTGGTTTTACTGTCTCAGAGGAGAAAACAAATTCATAAACAAAGTAAAAACCAGCTTTCCTGTCAAGCTGCTACACTTGGACACAGGGACTGCAGAACACAGCAGTTGCTGGAAGATCTCAACTATGAAAATAATATTTAACATTACAAAAGATAGCAAACATCAGGAAAAATCTTTCATCTAACTTAAAAATCGTGGTTGTGCAAATATTTCAGAGCAAACAGAGAAGCAGAAAGATAGAAAATTAATGTGCAAAATAGTACAGTAACTGTATATCTAGAAAAGAAATAGCACAATAATGTATGTCTCAGCTACTGAAAATATAGGAGATAAGCAATATTCTTATTTTCTTAAATCAGTCTAGCAATTTATTTTCTGTAGCTAACAGAAATACTATATGGCAAGAATTAATAGACCTAAAATACTTAGGATGGTATGGTATCGTGTTCACTGAGGCAAAAGAGGAAAAAGGATTCTGAAATTAAATTGTACAAATTTTTCTATCACAGTATCTCTTTCATTTGGAGCCCAGTACCTGTGGGGGACACCTTGCACAGCCTTGAGGCCGGGGGAGGGGCTTGGACCTGCCTCACCTGAATGTACCAGGCTCTGCTGACTCCCCATGGGAGGCATTACCTTGTCTGAGGAGGGAATGGGGGTGGGTTGATGGGGGAAGGCTGGGGGCAGGAGGAGGGAAGAGAGGGAGATTTGTGGTTGGTATGTAAATGAATAAAAAATTTCTTAATAAAAAAAATTGTACAAATTTTTAATTCAAGGTGCCCTATCATTTTTTTTGTAGGGAGGGATGTTAAAGTATGCATCTTTAAAAAAGTGATTCCAGCCGGGCGGTGGTGGCGCACGCCTTTAATCCCAGCACTCGGGAGGCAGAGGCAGGCGGATCTCTGTGAGTTCGAGGCCAGCCTGGTCTACAGCGCGAGATCCAGGAAAGACGCAAAGCTACACAGAGAAACCCTGTCTCGAAAAAACCAAAAAAAAAAAAAAAAAAAAAAAAAGTGATTCCAAAGGGTCAATCTTAATCCTATTCACTCATCTGTAGTTGATCTATGCATTGATCAAGCTCTGCTCTAGGAAAACAACACTGATAAGCCTCCTGGCGCTCATACGATGGGAATAAGGCAGTTCACAATGCCAACTACAATAGAAATACAATCTATCAGAAGGGCAGCACATGAAGGTGGAAATGGTGGAGCAACAGTGCTGAAGTCTGAGGCAGAGATTTTTTCAAAGGATGGCCAAACCCAAGTCTGTCTTCTCGGGTGAAGAGGAAGCAAAGATTTGAGGGGTTGGACAGAATGAATATGCACATATTTCAGAAAGGAAAGTGTTCCATGCAGAGTACTAACGCCCTGTGTTCTAAGAACAATGGCTGGAGAGTAAGCCATGGGGAGAATGGCAGAAATGTGGGCAGTGGGGTTACAGATGTTTGGCCTTGTAGGTCTCTAGTCCCAGTGAGGGGTGTGGAGAAGAATCATCCAATCAGATGTACCCTAACTGTACTCAGAATAGATTGGAGGGCCAGTTGGGATTTGCACAATGGAGATGAGATGGTGTTACTAGATTTGTTCTAGTTAGGGGATCTGGAGAAAATGTGAGATGTTGATTCAACAGTGGTCACTAAGGAAGACTTGCCAATAGATTTCCCCATGTCTTATTTTTTTTCAGGAACCTCTCTGAGCAAAGACAGGTCCTAATTCCTTATATTCCCTTCTTTTGGAAGTAATTTCAGTAATGCACTCTACTTTATAGCTGGATTTACTCTAGGTCTTCTTTTCAGCCCAGGACCTCTGAACAGTGTGAAATCAGAGCCTACTGGGGACAGTGGAAGCCAGTGACATAATACCAGCTGAAATAGTGACTTTAAGAGCCGATTCAGGGCAATGATGACTTCCTGTGAGTCTGGTGGTTACAGTGACCGCTTTTCCTCGACATTTCTTCCTCTATCCTTGATGACCCTACAGCAGTACTGTGCATTCACTTGCTCCTGTGACATTCCTGTTGTTCCAAGCACACATTGTCTGTTAGCCCCAAGTGTGGCCCCTTCCCTGAGGGCTCATCACTTTCTATGGCCTCAACCTTGGGTTTTTGGCCTCAAATTTTATACCACTATGATTAACACATTTCTGAGTTAAAGAATCTTAGGATTTTGTTTTGTTTTCTTTTATCTTTTCTTTGTGTGTGTGTGTGTATGTGTGTGTGTGTGTGTGTGTGTGTGTGTGTGTGTGTATTCTCCCTAAATTCCCTCATACCCAAATACACGTGCTTCCTTTCTTCCAGGAAAACTATCTTACTACTTTCCTTTACTTCCACTGTTTTAATTAGTGGTACCATCATCTCCTGATTTATTGCATTATTTTTATCACAGGGAAAGAGCAGTAATTCTAATAATAGCTCATCACCCTATAATATAACACCTAATTATCCTCTTTTATTTTACCCAGAGATTACTCAGCCAGAAACCTTGGTAATAATGGTAGTCAAATAGTTCTCTGTTGGAATTTGCTCTATTGGAGGACCTTGAATGATGCACACATGTTCTTTCATTTGGCCACAATTATATATATGCACATATAAAATTGTGAGTATGCGTATGCGTGTGTGTGTGTGTGTGTACATACTGGAGAGAAACTGCTATCGTGTTAAAGCACAGATATTCCAGGACTTGTCTTGATAAAGACTACTGGATTACCTTTGCTAAAACCACAATAAAATTAACTAGAAGATTACTTTACTATTCTTAGAATTCTGAAGTATATTAGAAACTCCTATTTCCATTAATATTTATCAGTGCCATATTTGATATAATGTGTTCAGAAGCTTATTTACTTGGTAAAAAAGAAAGTTGGTCAGATCAAGTTTCAAAAGTATTTGTCTTTCAGTATTTGAAATTTGGTAAAAAGAACTTTACTCACAAAACTGATTCCCTGTATATTGACATATATAGTAATATGTATAATTTATAGTGTTCTCAAAGCTTTCATCTTTAAGTCCAAAATATCATAGACTTAGAAAATGCTCTTATACTAGTGTTCAATCTGGTTGCTTCGTTCCATTATATACCTATCCTGATGTATAACACACAAAAAAAGTAAATATTTGAACTACAGCATAAAACAGTGTGTCTGCCATTCTTTGTATTTTTAACTGGCCACTGTATCAATTAGATATTTCCTTATAAGACATTTATGAAACTCTTTCTACCTACAGCTGGAATTGGTGGGTAACCTTCAGAGACACTCATAATGCCTTAGGATGGGAACCAGAAGAGTTACTACATCACATCATAAATGCTTGGATATTGCTTTCCCCAATGTAGTCTAGGTCAGTTTCAAGTCAGAGGTCAAGTTTGTCTTGGTCTCTCTGTATTTTCCTAGTAGCTAACATAGGCCCACCATTATAGCTAATATTCAATATTTGTTTTTGCTATATGAACAGATGGAGGAAAAGAATATATACAGTTAGACCTTTTTATTTGCAATTTGAGACCACTGTGAAGTGTGGATTCCTACTGTGGGGCTTATGAGCATTTTTCCTGGGAAAAGAGCTCAGAATGTTAAATTTTTAAAGAGATCTGTGTATCATTTTAAATGTTTAAAAGCCATTGCTTTGAAGTCCTGCAGGTACGTGGTCTCTCTCCCTCCCCCACTGCCCACTTCCACAGCCATCATCCACTAGCCTGCACAGAACTGCAAGGTCCTCCCCGTGGACGCTCACCAATTTATTCTTTCCTACTAGAAAGTTTAGCGTTCTCTAAGACCTCTGATATTTGACAGAGTACTGCCTTTCTCCAGACTATTTGTAGAAGTGTTAAGTAAGCCTAGAGCTAACGTCAGTCCCTGAAGAAACCTATTCCTTAAACTTCTCAACCTTTTCTCTTTGCCGTCTGTTTGCCTTTCCTAAGACAGTTCTTTTATCATGATCAAACTCTCTTCCAACCCCAAAGAATGAGGATTTACTATTTATTTTTCTCAAACTTATAGGAACTGCACTTTCACACGTTTGAGAACAGAAACAGGATGTACAATGCCTATGTATCCTCACTTTTAAGGTCTTCATTTGTCAGACGAAAAATGCTATCTCTTTATTGCCCAATATACAGTGTCACAAACACTGAAGTATTGTCACTAAAAAAAAAAAAAAAGCACACAAATGTGGTTAATTTCAATCTTTAAAGAAGAAAACACAATGTAAGAAATTAGGAATGAATAATTATATTGCCCTTGCTAAATATTATTTGGTGCTGAAGAGCTGTTATGTAAGGTATTTTATGCTAACAAAGCTTGGAAAGGAAAGAGAGGGTTTTCCTGCTCAGGGTGGTATTTCATGTCTGTAATTATGACACTTGGCACTCAGAAGACAGAGACAGGAGATCTTCGTAAGTGTGAGTTATAAGCCAGCTTGGGCATTGTATGGGGTGAGACCCTAAATCGGGATGGTGAGATGGATCAGTGGGCAAAGCACTTATTGCATAAGCCTGATAATCTGAATTTAATATTTAGAACCTACATTAAAAACATCAGATACAATGGTGTGTCCCCAAAATCCCAGCGCTTTTAGGGGGAAAATAGAGGCAAACCTGGGGAAATGACCTGAAGCTCATATACGCATCAGCAGAAACCTGACAGGCCCTGCCTCAGCAAAGTGAAGAAGAGGACTGATATCAGAAAGTTGTCTTCTAACTTAACTGTGCACCATCTCAGGCTCACACACCTCATGTGTGCACACACAAACACACAAATTAACAAACAAAATATAAATCTGAAAAATCCTCTTCAAACTACACTCACACACCCCTTCCCTGACCTTCACATAGTGTATTTATGACATTCTTATAAAGGCATTATATAGTTTTACTTTACTAATCAGTTCCTGCTAAGAAGTGGTGAGTGTGTGTGTGTGTGTGTGTGTGTGTGTGTGTGTGTGTGTGTGTACCATTCCTACAGATACATCATGAAGATTTCCAGGACAGCCAGGGCTACACAGAGACTGGTACAAGTTGAAATAATACTTTAAATAGGCTAAGTTAAATAAAATCATGACAACTAATTTCATCTGCTCAAGCTGCATAAATATCACACACTGTAACTCTTGGACATGACTGTGGTAAACCTTTTCGTTACACTGCATATGTATGCTATTTTTTTTCCCATAAATTCCCTTTATCTCTCTTGGTCTGTATTTTGGACTGGATAGTTCCTAATGATCTTCTAGTTCAATACTCAGTTCTTTTACTTGGCTGAAATGCCACTTTTCCTATTAATAAGTTTTAATTTTCATACTCCACACCCCTATTTTATTAGTTTCCATTTGCTTCTTTAAATGGATTCTAGTTCCACCACCGCCTGGCATCTTTCATTTATCTTATCTTTTCCTTTATTTGCTGGAATATTTTCATCTCAGCCCTTAGTTAATACTGCCAGTATCTTGAGCATCTATCTACATACCCACTTCTGTGTACTCATGTGTATGATGTGTTCATATGTCCTAATTTTTGTCATGACTCATAATTTTGAGTTGAAATCATATGTACGTACATATGTTGATATATATATCTAACAAAGAAGAACAAGACAATTCTGCCACCAGAAGATTCAATTTTCTCTCCCACGAACAAAGGGTGAGTGGCAACATTTTAATGCAAGCAGTGAATGGGGTAACCCTGGGCTAAGCTACAGCTTTTAGAAGACTCGGGCTTCTTTCATCTGTGCTGTTTCCTAGGGCACAGCCCTCTGGGGTTCTTCCACTAACAGCTTGGCAGGGTATTAATTCATTGTGAGTAAATTCAAGTCTATACTGAGGTCCCTCAAGAGCCCTGTTCTAGCAGGGTAGCCCCATGTAACTGTCCACTCTTGATTTCTTTGTCTCAATCTGCAGACCATGCAACTTTCAAACACTTGATCTGGAGGTTAGAGTATCATCCCAGTGAAAGGTAGACTCCTCTTAAAACTTCATTTCTTTCTCCTCATTGCTTCTAAAGCACTTGATGATTATTTGTTTTGTCTGGCATCCTACTTGTTCTTGGCAGGAATGTTGATCTGCCATCAGTCCACCCCCATGGAGAGGCAGAAGCATCTTTCTTAACTTTTTAACCACCCAGAACACCATGTATTCTATTTCTTTAGTTTATCAAGTTCCTTCCTGAGAATGTTAACTTCTAGAAGTGATGGCTTTAAGAAAATATGGAAAGAAGGATGAATCCCTTGCACCATATAACTGACAAGAAAAAAGAAACCATCAATAGTAAGTAAAAACAAACAGAGTTGCCTTCCGAGTCTCATTCCCAAGATGAAGATTTATTCTATTATAAATTTTCCAGGTCCTCTCAAGTGTTAAGGGTCAGGCATGCAGAAACAAACACAGCATGTTCCACACCTTAAATGGAGACTGGTAAAATAGAGATGAAAACCGAAGTAGAAGAACACAAAATTGCCATCTATTTCCCTGACTCACGATGAGAACAGTGACAGGGTTTTTACAACATCAGGACCCTAACTCCTAACCGATGTCTTCTTGATATTCTTACCCCCAGGTTTCTTTCTCCCAATTCTGCTACAAGAATCACTCATTTCCTGTACCATCCTTCCTGTCCTGCCTCGCCTGTGCTTCTAATCCTAACAGTGCTGAATATTTCTCCTCAAACGTTGGTATAACTTCAGAAACAATCATGAGGTCTGTAGGGTGGCTTGATAAAACAGTAAAAATTACTTCAAATCAAAGAGGGGAAATTGAGGGAGGAGGATATTTGTGTGTTTGGCAGACTTATTATTTCCAAGGCAATTTGAAGTTACTTTCAATTTTATAAGTATGGAAATATTGTGGAAATACATATTTTAGTGTTTTCCTTCGGTATTTTACTCCTGTGATGGAATGTGTAATTTTCAGAGTATGTAAAACCCATTGAAAGATACTAACTGAAGAGTAGAGGGAAGGCTGGGGGATGGCTCAGTGGGCAAAGTGTTTGCTGTGATGGGGTGAGGATGAGTTTAACCCATAATCTGTGTAAAGTCAAATGTGGTGGCAAACAGCTGTAATCCTAGTGCTCAAATAAGAAAGGGGACAGAGACAGGAGAGTTCCCAGAAGCTCCTACGACTAGAACAAGATACCCTGTTTCAAATAAGATAGAGGGCAAAGATGGGCATTTAAGATTGTCCTCTGACATCCATGAGCCCTCTGTGGCACAAGTGTGCCTAAACTCTTACATGAACACACACACACACACACACACACACACACACACACACACACACACACACATACACACACACACATACACACACACACACACAGACACACAGAGAGACAGAGAGACAGAGACAGAGAGAGACAGAGAGACAGAGAGGGCAGAGGCAGAGAAAGAAAGTGCATATGAGAGAGAGAGAGAGAGAGAGAGAGAGAGAGAGAGAGAGAGAGAGAGAGAGAGAGAGAACAAGAGGAAGGAAGAGGAGAGAAAGGAAGAAGAGAAAGATTATGAAAAGAATATTGGGAAGAATAGTCAATTTATTGGGAAATGTATTAGTAATTGTGATGGTAAATAACATCAAGTTTCTCAGATCCTGTATTTCATAGCTTATAACACTTCCCTTTGTTAATGTTAAAAGCAGTTGTTAGAAAAAAATTCCCTTCATTTTTTATTTTATGTGCATGGGTCTTTTGTCTACTGTACATTGGTGTGCCAACATGGGCACAATGCCCATGGGAGCCAGAAGAGTTCATGTAGGTACTGGGAATTGAACCCAGGTCCTCTGGAGGAGCAGCCAGTGCTCTTAGTCATTGAGCGATTTCTCCAGCCTCACAAGCATCTCTTTAACACTGAACCTTTCTATTTTGTGTCTCACAATATGAAACCATGTACACAAAGTTTTAGTTTTTCCTCACTACTGGGGTGTGTGTGTGTGTGTGTGTGTGTGTGTGTATTTCCTCACTATCTATTCAGTTTAAACATTTTATACATTATTTAAATTTTGTTTATTTATTTGAAACAAGGTTTCATCTAGTCAGGGCTGGTCTTGAATTCTGGACCCTTCTACCGCCACCTCCTATGTGT